GAAATGTTCCTTTATTCAAGGACATTAACAGATTTCCAATTATACTTGATTCTGGAAGATTAGACGAAGTAGTCGGAATAAAGAAAACACTCCGCAAAAACCAAGCAAAGTATAAGCAAAGTTGCAGACTAATGCTCAGCAATAGCAAGCTTGACAGAGCAACTAAAAGGGTAGCATCCTCAATTTCAACAGAGGTGACATCAGAAAAAAGTAGACGATTGATTATTGAAAAGCAAGTGTGCATTCTTTGTGAAAAGACAGAACCATCAGCAGATCTTGGACAAGTTATGACAATGCAGCTAGATAAGAGATTAAATAAATGTGCAAGAACATTAAATGAATAAAATTAAGTGGAGGAGATGTAGTAGCCCAAGTACAAAAGTACCACTGTTTTTGTTTAACAGCACTCTATAACAGAGAGAGAGCATTTCTAGTAAAACAAGGGGACCAGGAAAGTCAAACAGATACAGAAAAAGAAATGGTCCCTCAAGTTTTTTTAGAGCTTTTAGTATATTTAATAGAGACTAAAACAAACCGCTGAGTTCGTGGTTTTTCGGCTAGCTGGTTTAGTAAGTCTGTACCATCAGCGATTACAACAACTTGGAGTCCATGATCATAATGTCAATTCAACCAGACTCAAAAATAAACTTTTAGCAGAAATACCAGAACTAAAAGTGTACAAGAAAAGCAGAGATGTTCTATTGACATTTAAAGAAGATGTTGGAACAATTCTGTCAAAGGCAACTACACCATTATATAATCATAGGCTAAGCATTTCATACAATAGGGTGCTTAAGGTTTCAGCTCAGTCAGGCAATGCCGCTGTTGACAAATATAAAGCAGAAGGTGTGGTATGTCTAAATATTTTGAGAAAAGGTTTGTTTTTAACCTCAGCAATTGATAATATAGATCACAATCCAACTGCTACAACATCAACATCTTCATTCCTTGGAACAAGTGTTTCTATATTCCAACACCAAACTTTGGAAAATGAGATAGTATTACAGAAATCATGGCAAATTGATAAGAAGATTAAGACCATTTCTAATCTTCCAGACTCTTACACCAATGTTACACCTGTCTTTTTGGTACCAAAAATCCAAATCCCCCACAAGTTGAAAATCAAGCACTGCTTCTACCTCTTGTTTTGAAACCAGAGTATGATTGGTTGCAAAAGGTTAGTCTCACAGAAACAGTCAACACAGAAAGAATTGATATATCTTGGTTTTCACATTATGAGAACAAGCTCACTCTATTGCAACAGTTTGTTATTGTATGGAATAAATCAAGGAAGTTGTGTCCCATCTTAATCCAGACCAAGTCCCTGTAATTGCTGCTGATCAACACATTTTTGCCATGGCAAAACAAGTTCAATGGCACTGGCCAGAGAAATATGGTGAAGATAAATTTGTCCTTATGTTTGGTAAACTGAATATCGGTTCGATATCAGCTTTGGTTGAATCAGGAATAGTTACTTCTGGTACAGCGGATTCATTCCTTTTAGTATCAAGCGTAACAAGAACACGGCATATGCACCAGGTTAATAATATAAATTGCTGCATGAGTCTTACGACACGTTTTGTACAAAAGCACAAGCTGATGATCAACCGGAACTTAGTTTTGATGATCGGTGTGACATGCGCAAGCACCAAAATCCACAATTCCAATTCTGGTTAATGATTTTGAAAATGGAGCTGACCATTCTATCGTTAGTACGGTCTTTCAGAGAAGCCAATTTTGATTTATATTGCCAAGCTTTGCAAGAATTGTTACCCTATTTTTTTGCAAATAACAACACCAATTATGCTCGTTGGTTACCAATCCATCTCCGAGATATGCTGCGTTTAGATCACACTCATCCGCAGATAAAAAATGAGTTACTGAAGGGCAATTTCGTGATCTCGAGAACTTTCCGCCTTAGCAATAGATCAAGCCTATGAACACGCAAATGCTGTTATCAAAGGTGAAGGTAGAGCAATCGGTGTCTCGGAAGATCTGTCGGTTCTCAGACGATGGATGGTTCCTGGTCCCGAGTTGAACCGTCTCGTTAGTACGTATGAAAAGGTATCAAATGGCAAAGATGATAATGAAATGCAACATGAGCAGACCACCATGCACAAAAGACATTTCTGGAACGTGTAAACAAATTGTACTGTACTGTTACTGATATAGAAAACCCGTTCCTGCAAGAAATAAAAGACTTGTTGACTCTAGATACCAAACGAGTTGCTTATCCAAGTACAGCGGAGAAAGTTGCTACTTATTATAAGACAGGAAAGAAACAATTTGAAGATTTTATGGCAAGTCTTTTACCTGACTCCGAGAGTAAATTCTACGAGCCTATAAAAAAGAACAAGGTAGACTTTTTCATGACTTCTTTTAACATGAAAACCAAGTTTTTCCGGGTGCATTAAGTGACTCTGGGAGAATACATTCATTCCAAAAGTCCCAGCTGGCAACAATTCTTGGTGAAGCAGTCTTTAACTCAGAAAAACTACTAAATACCAAAGCTATTATAATGAATGGGTCAGCTCATGTGAATTCACTTATGCCAAGAATTTCCAAGATGTTTAATGAATATGCCATTCTTGAAGTCATTCCTAAAGTTTAAACATGCATTCCAAAGTTAGAACTGATGTTGTGTTTGGTGTGTACAAACCGTTGAAAAACTGGAAAAATCCCAAATTTGGCAGAATTTTGCCAATTCTTTATTTTGATAAAGAATTGGCAGAGCTTTATGAGAGATGACACCAACAAAAACAAATTATTTGAATTTCTGTTTAGAAAAGCTTTGGCTTGAGTTCGGTCAGGGGAAAAAAGTGAAATGGATACCTGTGCATAATGTTAGTAATAAGTTGGGATATAACAAATCTGCTGGTATTTTATTTTTCCATGCCTTTTCTGGCTGGGATAACGTGTCAAGTTTCAAAGGCAAAGGGAAAAAATCATTATGGCAAACGTGGAGTGTCTGCCCTGATGTGACCAATGTGTTTCGGAAGTCGAGTACCACTATCTCCGGTAGTAGATGGTCATGATATTTTTTTTTTTTTTTTTTTTTTTTTTTTTTTTTTTTTATTCAACCATATCAATAAAATTTACAAATTTCATCGTAAATTAATATAAATTGGTTAGGTGTCACTCATATAGTTACAAACTAGTCAATGGAGTGACACCTAAAAAACATAAAAATTTCACGAAAAATAGAGATTTGATATGTTTGCCAGGAAGCAATGTTCATTTGATGCTATCCCTTCAACAAAAGCGTCACTGATTTAACATACCAAACAAGCAGCATATCAAGCAGGATGCATATGGAGTCAGGCATTGACATGTTCAATGGAAGAAATAATTCCATCTGATTGAGGCTGGAAGCTAAAGGATGATATATGGACAGTAGTATGGTCCGATCTTTCTCTAATTGCAGAGTCATGGAAGCAGCTTACAAAATATGGATGTAAAAATGAATGTCGGGGTTGATGATAATGCTTCAAGCTGAGTTTGCCGTGTACTGCTCTATGCATTTGTCGGTGTGATACATAACACTTATTACATTTTTGAAAATGTTCTGATATTGTAAAGAGTTAAACCTAAAGAGACTGGATGTTTCTTACAAAAAATATATATTTATATATTTTTGCTTTTGTTTTGCTTGAATGGTCAAGGATTGACTCGATTTGTATATATTTATATATAAAATGACTTTCTAAAGTTGTGTTTTGAACGAATCTGTAGATTTAAGAAGATTGAGTGATACTCGTCACATGTATTGTGACTTGCTTGATACTTTCTACGAAAGGAGATTCCATTCATAAGTTACTAGAATGACGAAATGTAATAATATCAGAATGTGGTGGTTTTTTATCCACCATTTTGAATTCAAAATGGCCTCCAACAGCCACATGTTGATGCATGAATGCATCAATATATTTAGCAATTTCTTGTCGAGTTATGTGTATCTATTTGCAACTTTTGTGCTTTAAATCCATTTAACCGTTTAATTTCATAGGAATTTTAGTTATTGTCCGCCATTCTAATTTTTTTGTGTGGTTAATGTGCTTTTTTGTTAAGGGATAGTTAAACTAAATTTGGTGCTTGTATCACAAAGTGAAAGATTCTAATGATATTTTGGGTTAAGCTGCTGCGTTATAAAGTCTATTTTTCCTAAAAACAATTTATTCTTTCAATTTTTTTTACCACATACTTAAATAATAGTGGTTAAGATGATCTTAGTTATCAGAGCCAACGACACCGGGGTGAGGGGAGGGTAGAAGGGAGCCAGGGGGCAATGACATCCCTTCTTTTTGTCTTATCTTAAAAAGTTTTTTATTTTTTTCGAAATTTTTTGGTATAGAGGAATTTTTTTAGAAATCAATAATTGTGCCCCTCCACTTCGAAACCCTTGCCGTCAGCCCTGGTTATACCCTCTAGACATTCAAAATAATTTCGTACGCTTTTTTTCGCTACACCCCCATCCCTCCCCGCAAGTTGCCATACGCTTTTTTGATTACTCTCTACCTCCCTTAAAGTATCTACACGTTTAACCTTCCAACCCAACATTTTATGGTATTTTTTTTTTTAATTTAGTGTCTCCATACTTTTATAATTGACCTACTGCCCCCTTATCTTAGAAACGCCATTTGTACACCCCCTCTTCCTCTCCGAGCGTACGTACTTTATGGACGACCCCTTACTATGAAACATACATACGTATGTTTCATAGTCAAAGGTGTCTATAAACATAATGGTTGTACCAATTAAAAGTAATTAAATCAATACACAACAATATTAACTTGAGTAAATTTTGCAAAAAAGATATTAACTTTTTATAATTTTTTTTTTGGAACATTGAGTATTTATGGGTCCATTAGCTAATTAAAAAATGATTAAAAATAATAATTTTAAGTAAAAAAAAATTTTTTTAATAATGATAAAAATAAAAAAAAATTCGTGGAACGTTTGATAAAATCGTGCTGTTTAAGCGCTTCTTATGATTGGTAGAATAAAAACCTAAATTTGGCTAAACGAGCAAATACAATGTGGTTTGTACTGGAATCTTCGAAGACTTTCTTTCTACCTTATTAAGGGCATTTCACTAAGTTAGTAGAGGAACGAAGTATTCCTCATTGAATATCTGTTGAAATGTAGGTTTTGGTTTAAATTGTCAATTTTCTATCAAAAAAAAACTTTATTGCATATAAAAAAATTATCATTTTATTATGCTTCTCTTTTAAATGTAACTTTTGGAAAGAGTTAGGTTTCGCAAGTATTTATACAGATCCATTGCTTTGCGTGCTGATTTTTTTTATTTATGTATTTAAAAATTGATATGTCCATAAATTTGTATTTTTTAATTATTTGGGATAGTGTTTCGCAAATAACACAGTTAAATTTTTACATTAGGGCTCCTACAGTACCATTAGTTTTGTGGGCGCAAAGAAAAGATCGTATTCTTGTGAGTGTCCAAATAGAAGATGTAACAAACGAACAAATTTTTGTTGATCAAACTAAACTTACTTTTAGGTAGTGTAAGAATTTTTATTTTTAAATATAAAACGACATACTAAGCGTTTTTTCTTAGCCTGATCAATTAGTTACAGAGTATTTTCTGTCATGTTTTTAATTCAATTTGCCAGCAATCAGTATTTTTATTTTCTAAACTTACCATAGATTTTGAATTTTTTTAGACTTAGTTAAAATTTATAAACATTTTCTACCTCGTCCTAAAAAAATAAATCTTAACGAGATATGAAAGTATTTGTTAGGCCATTAAATAATTATTTGTCATTTAACATGCTATTATGGAGTGTCTGCCAGTTTAAGAAAAAGTCATTGAATTCTAATATCTGCTTAAAAGTCAGGTAATAATTTAGAAAATGAGGTTGAAATTTAGAAAAATGGCCTTTAATTAATCTTATAAAACTTACATCAAACTTATGAAAGTATATATAGTGCACATAATATAAAATTTTATTTGGAAATAAATTTTTATGAATTTCTCTTGGTACTTTGAATGTGCACTGTATTAATATTTATAATTTTTAATTTTTTTAAAAGAACATAAATGTTTTCTGAGGTTAAGTTTAGGTAACTTTATTGAATTTTTATTTTGATTGAATGTTTTTTTGTGGTTATTGGTGCTTAAGGTGTTTAAAATTCATTAAGGTCTTATGACAAACTTCTTTTGTGGTTATCTTATCACAAAGGTCTTTTGTGGTTGTCTTATCACAAAGGTCTTTTGTTGTTGTCTTATCACAAAGGTCTTTTGTGGTTGTCTTATCACAAAGGTCTTTTGTGGTTGTCTTATCACAAAGGTCCACAGATAAACATTTAACTAGGAAGTTTACACTTTCTTTATTTCCAATATTAATCGGTGTTGAACCTCAGACCTTTAGAGTCAGAACTCTAAATGTGTCACAGATCAGGAAAAACAGGTAGTAGATCAAAAAAACCATCTAAATATTGTCAGTATTAAATGTATTTGTTTCTTTTTTTAAATTATCTAAAGAAACATTTACTCTGCCTGGTTTTTACTTTTTTTATATATATATTTGGTGTGCCTATGCTAGCATGAGAAAGAAAGAATTGCAAAAAGTTAAAAAATATTGTTCTTGCTATTGCCTGCCTTGGATCTTGCTGATGAAATTGTAGTTTTGTTATACTTAATCTCAAATGATAAATATTATCAGCTAAATTGAAATTTAACTTTAAAACATTAAAATTTATTTTATTGTTTATTTTAATTGCAGTTAACTGAATTTAGTTTTTACCGACATTAAATATTTTTATTTTGCAAATCAGTAGCAAACAAATATATTAATTGGATTATGTTTATTTTTGTTAATTTAAACAAAGTTACTATAAACTTGGTTTAAATGGAGAATACAATTTTAAGCATATACCTCAGATTAGAAATGGTAATAATAAATAATGCTCTCTTCTAACACAAGGAAATAGAATTTCCTTAATAAGACTTTGTCTTGTTTTAACAGCTTAACGTTACTGTCTCATTTTGGCTTCAATAAACACAATTAATTGTTTTATTATGTTTGTTTATCACACTTTTTTTTGTTGCAAAGAGAAACGAAATGTTCTTTTTTTTTTCTTTTTTTGTCTGTTTATTGCAATCTTGTGTTTTTGCTGCTGTTTTCTGTTGTTTGTGTTTTAGTAGTTTTGTTCCAAACTTTATTTCCTGATTGCTTTCTGTATGCAAGCTTTCTCAGGAAAAGGTATGCCCAAATACCTTATATGTTTATGCACACAGTATTTTGTTTGGTCAACTTAGCCTGGATTTTTAACATGTTTATAATGGGCTGAAAAAACTAAACTAAAAAGAAAATTAAGAATAAACAATCCATAAACTGATAATAAAATATTTAAAAGGTGGACCAGTAAAGATAAAAACCTAATATAAAAATAATTTTTTATTTTAGAAGTATCTCAATAGTTTATTCTTAACTTAAATTTAAAAGTGTCTCTATTGTTTAAAGTTAATAATTTTGTAAACATCACTTTGTTAGTGTAGTGCTCAGGTGAATAAAATATTGTATTAATAAGGTGCAGCTGCTGGATCAGTTAGGAAAATGTTCAGTTCCTTTTAAGGAATACTTTCTCTTTCAGTTGGTTTGTCTTGTTTCATTCGCTTAATTTTAGTTTAAATTTGCATTTTAAATTTAGTTTAAGTTTATTCAGCCCATTGTTTTTTTTATGCATTAATTCTTCAAACTTGCAAAGAGCTGTAGTCAAATTGTAAAACAAACTATATGCGTTTTGAAGGCGTTTCCTGAGAAGGCTTGTGTATATGTAAGTGATACAACTATTCTATTTTTTGCACAATTCTATTGACCAAATGCCACACTTTGGCTACTCTTGATCTTGAGTTAAGAAGAGAGGTAAGCCATTTTCAATAAATGGCGCATCTACTTATGTTAAACAATTTGAATATGAGACCTTATAATAAATTAATTTTTTTTTTCTCGTTTTAATTTTTTCTCAAATTTAAATAATTCTTTGTCTATATAATTTTTAATTTTAGTGTTAGAATAATTATAACCAGATCTATAATAATAACAATTCTTTACAGCTTATCTTATGTAAGTGATACAACTATTCTATTTTTTGCACAATTCTATTGACCAAATGCCACACTTTGGCTACTCTTGATCTTGAGTTAAGAAGAGAGGTAAGCCATTTTCAATAAATGGCGCATCTACTTATGTTAAACAATTTGAATATGAGACCTTATAATAAATTAATTTTTTTTTTCTCATTTTAATTTTTTCTCAAATTTAAATAATTCTTTGTCTATATAATTTTTAATTTTAGTGTTAGAATAATTATAACCAGATCTATAATAATAACAATTCTTTACAGCTTATCTTATCAATACCAACCTTGATTTTATTTGAAAGAAAACCTTTAAACAATTTTTTCAAACTGTATTTGTTTATTAAATAATATAATAGTAAAAGTTTTTATTTAATAACTCTGATAGTTATTAAATATGCTGAAAATTGTAGCAATAAATTCTTTTTTTACCATATTAAGTTTGTCCTGTGTACTGTACGATCAGTTAAATGATTTTTAAAATGATAATTAGTGGTTTTAAAAAAAAGTTATTGATGCTAAAAATGTTTAAAAAAGTTGTTGGTGGTGTTAATGCTGTTATTGGTGTGGGTATCATTAATCATTCTAGTGTCCATTTTTATTAAAAAAAGTTTTGTTGTAAGTTGAAAAAGAGGAATCTTTTCGATGGATTTTCTATGAACATTTTAATGTAATAAAATGTGCTGCATATAAACGGCACCAAATGTTGTACTTAGTTTCAAATGAAATCTTAGTTCAATATATTGATATAGAGGTATATTGTGGGGAAAAAATGATTGGTTAAAGCTGTGCGTTAATTTTCATGAACTTTTTATATCTTTTAGTAGTTTAAATCACATAATAAATTTCTTATTTCTTATTTTCATAAATGTTTAAAGCTGCTCTAATCTGAGCACACTTCGAACTTAAAAAAAATCTAAAGTTTAGGAACTTTAAGTTTAAATTTTAAGCCATTGACTTCAAGAATCCATTAAGTTAGGATTTCTGTTGTAACAATTGAATAACATTTTTACAAACAATCCATTGTTATAATCACTATATCAATATGAAAGAATCAAACAAAAATTTGAACTCCTAAAGCATCCACAAAAAATACAAAAACACTTGGTTTGAACAAATTAGGACAGTATTTAAGTGTTACGAAACAATCTAAATAATATTAATTCTAATTAGGATTAATATTATTTAGGATTAATATTATTTGCTATTCTCCTAATATAATAGGAGAATAGCAAATTTATTAATATTAATAAATTTGCTATTCTCCTATTATATTAGGAGAATAGCAAATTTATCTTCTTTTTTTTAATATCTAAATAAAAATATTTATATAATTCTTTTGTTGTTGACCAAAGTAAGAATACATAAAAAAATATATATATATATAAATAGTTTGAACATTAAAAAAAAAGATTTTTTTTCCAAATTCTCCTAATATAAAAAGTTTCAGTTAGAATCATGTCAAGCCAATGTGACGAAATTACCTAATGAAGTAATTCATTTTGTTAACAAAGAAGCACCAGGACTTTAATTAATGCATGTAGTTTTAACTTACATAACACAAATTAAAAATACAAATGTGCTTTAGCTAAGCATTATTATTCAAAACCTTAAATCTTAAAATGTAACATTTAATATTATTTTGCATATGTTATTAAAAAACTTTAGTTTTTAAGCAAAATTTTAGAAAAAGTTCAACTTTATCATGTTTTTGTTAACTTACGTTACATGAAAATTGCAAAAGTTCTTTCGTTATTTTCTTGAAATATATATATTTTTATAAAGTATAAAATCTGACCAACAACGATTTGAGCATGTTAGCTCCATTTTTACATTAAATTTTTTTTGCCAATTTATTACTACTTAAGTTTACGATTAAGCATTTTAGGTTGAGTGAGTTAATCTATTAAAATATATTAACTCACTCAACCTAAAATGTATTATTAAAATTGTTTCCAGCTGTTAGACATGTACCCTTCCTGTACCCCTTTTTCATCAAGGACAGTTAATTTTTAGAAAAAACTTTTTTGGAGTGACCTGATAAAACATGTTAAAACTGTTTCCAGCTTAAAACCATTTAATATTTTGTAAATTTTAATATTCGCTATTAAGTTTATTTATAATTTTCTCTATTATTGGCCAGTAGTTATAAAAAACACTATTTTGTATTGCATTTAGTTGTTGAACTAATCAATAGACAATATGACAAAATATGCAAAACATTTACAAAATATGCAAAAATTTCATTTTATAAAGTGAATAGTTATTTAAAAAGGTATTTTAAATAGTATAGTTTAATTTATGATGATAAATATTTGATTACAAATTTAATGCAAAGAAAGCAACAAAAAGTTTGTCTTGAAAAATATTTTAATTTACCTGGTTAAAATTAAAATAATAAGTTTTTCAAGTTTTGAATTTTTATTTAGTGGTCAAAGTCATGGCATATCATATGCAATTGATTTAGAATTTTTTAACAATATTGTACCAGAGGTAAGAATGTTTTCAAATTTTTATATCAAATGCTTTTATTAGTTATTGTTTTTATTTAAATATTTATGTTTTAAAGATATCTGAAATTGTTAACATACACCCTGTGCAAGTTTTGTTTTTTATACTTTTGTTGATGTAATTATAAAAACTAGCAGTAAGCAACCCGTAATATGCGTTGTTAGTAAATAAAATTAAAAAAAAAACGCGTATAGAAAAGCCTAGAAACTACTTTAAAATAGAAAAGCGTAGAAAATGATGTAACTCGACTAATAATAATAATATTAAATTAGCGTATTCATATTATCAGATAAAATTAATTTATCTTGGTTTATAAATACATCTTTTTATTTTTAAAATTGGCTAAGATTGCTTGTGGGTTTGTATTTTTTTAAAAATCTTTTTAAAAAACTTTTTTTTTAATTTTTTTTTTTAATATTAATATATCATAATTCTTTGTTAAAGACTAAAAGTAGAAAATAAAATGCTGCAAAAACATTTGCTCAAAAATATTATCTTTTTTGAACTAAGAAGTAGAAAATAAACTTTTTAATTTTAATTTAAATAGTTCAATAAACTTAAGATTGACAGGTTCCTATCAGTTATTATCTTTTTTTTTCGGATATTTTCTGAATTCCAGATATTTTTGCACATTTTTATTTTTTCCGGATGTCCAAATAGGTTTCTGGAAATACAAGTTTAAAAAAAAATTTTTTTTGTATGAGAATCTAAATATCAGTCTTTTGAGATAATTATGCGAATTTTTAGCAAAATCTCTAAAAATTTGTGTAAAGCTGAGCAATTACTCAGAAAACGCTGAGTATAAATAAAGCCAATGCTTTTTGTTATTTTACCCAGCCTATTAAAAAATGTTTGTAAGTATTTAAATTATAAAATAAGTTTTGTGCTAATTAAAATTACCAAATCAATTTATTTATTGAAATATTAATTTTTGTCAATTTGTCATTTTCAGATCTTTTTTATTAATTTATTTATTTTCTTCTTTTTTTTTTTTTTTGAGTTTTAGTTGTTTGTTTTTAATTATTTGGATTGAGTTCAGTTTTATTATGCTTAATTCTGTTACAATATTTTTTTAAGTTTTATTCAAATATTGTAATTTTTTGAATTGTTAAATTGTTTTTATTACTTTTATTGGTTGATAAACTAAATTGAGAACTAAATTTTGAATAAAATTATTAGTATTTGTTAAGTTACTAGTATCTATTTTTAATTTTAAGTATATTAATTAATAGATAAGTCTATATTAATCAATAGGTAGGTTAAACCTATAATTTGATAAAAATTGAGTAGAAAATAAACTACAGGCTAAGAAAAAAAAATTTTGATTATGCAGTCTGTAAACTATGTTTTGATGATTTGAAATACAGTTTAGTTGTTTTTCAAACACTTTATCGGCATTCTATAAAACCTAAACATAAATTATTTTCTGTTATTAAATTTTCGAGAACAGCTCGTTGTTTATATGCAGATTTAGATAAAAAAACTTTTGTGAGAGAAAGTAGTACAATTAGAGTATTCTATAAATGATAAAATTTCAGCTGCAAAGGCTATGAAGTTGTTTAAAGTAGCTGAAAATGATCTTGCTTTAAGGCATTGTGATAATACATCATTTTTATTTCAAAGAATGTTTCCAGATAGTATAGTAAGTCAAGGTTTCAGTATGAGTAAACAAAAGACTTCATATATATTTCAAGATGGCCTTGGACCTTTGTTGGAAAAACGCCTCTGTTCTAAGTCAAAGTACTTTTACTTTGATATTTGATGAAATAGCTACATCACAGCAATCAAAACAAATGGATCTTCTATTTCATTTTTGGTCAGAAGAAGAGAATCAAGTTGTTACAAAATATTTAACATTGCTGTTCTTTGGCAGAGCAACAGCTGAAGATGTCCAAATTTAAATATTATTTTTTTTTCAAGAATTTTATCTTCATTTATTAGTATCATTTGTGGAAGATGAATAAAAATTGTATCAAGCAGCTAATATCTCACAAGACTGGTATTAAGATTCTGATACAAAATCAAAAAAAAATTGACTATTACTGTTTTTAAGTGACAAGGAATATGGAAAAACCAACTATCTATATTTCAGTAAAGCTGTTAAGAGCTGTTTAACTATTCAGAATGGAAATGCTAGTGCATAGCAAAGTTTATCAGGTGATAAAAATAAATTGACAGGGCAAGTGGGAATAAATGATGAGGCGTTAATGGCTCTGAGAATATCAAAAGAATATGCAAAAAGTTGCAATTGAGCATATAATTTTGATGCTCTCTCTAAAGATGTTGTTCAATCAGTGCAAAATGCTCACAGAATATATAAAAAAAGAAAAGCTGAGGAAGAAGAAGAAAAAAGAATAAATGATATTCATAAGCAAGAACTTATTGATTAAGAAAAACAACACAAAGAAATGTTTGAAAAACCAAGATCCAAGGGAGAAAAATATAGGTCTGCAGTTTCAACTTGTTCAGAGTATGCTAGATGAAGCAACCAAGTGCAAAGTGCTATCAAATACATAAAAATGAACAAAAAAAAGTTAAGAGTAAATATTGGTTTAAAATAAAGTGAAATAGGTAATCAAATTGGTATTGTAAATAAAAGTTATTGTGAGCTTCTTGTTTAATTATTTTGAATATTATTTGGTGTTTTCTCTGTTATTCTTTGCAATTTTTCCGCTCAAAAAACCAGGGTTTTTTTCGTTTTTTTAAAAAGTTGTTGCTTGACATGTTAATACAGGTGTATTAATATAAAAGCATTTATTGTTTTGCCATATATTTCTGCAGTATTTAAGTTTTAAAAAAAAAAAAACTTTTAAGAAAAAAAAAATGGTTTTAAAACCAAAGTTTACCTTTGAAAAGAGAAAAAAAAGTGTTAAAAATTATTTATTAAAATGTTTTTTGCTTGTGTTTTGATAAATACTTTGCTTTGGAACGTTTAAATAATATGAAATTTATTTTTCAATTATTCAATTATTTCAACTCTTTCACCTAAAAATCTAGTTTAATTTATAAAATCTATTTAAGTAAGCATTAAAATACTTTTATATAGAAGACCTGCCAAAATTTTTCAAGCGCATTAAAAATTCTTAAACATACACTAAAAGCGTTTTTATTCCCAGATTTTTACGTATGTCTTAAAATATTTTCCAGATATTTTAAATATCTGGAAAATATTTTTATCAAGGATAATCTATGTTTTATTTATAGTTTATTTTCTATTTTTTAGTACAAAAATTATATTTTTGAGCAAATGTTTTAGCTATATTTTATTTAAATCCAATTTTATCAATATTATTTCTTTATTTATACTAAAGTTTTTTTTATTAAAGAGTTTAAAAATTAATGTAGAAAAAAAAAGTCAAATTTTGTAAACAAATGTTTTGTGAAAAAATGAATTGCGTGCATGTCTCGTTTAATTCAAGTTGGCTTTATTTTTTTTTTTCTAAATTAAAACTTTCTTAAGATTTAGCCAGACAGTTATTTTTATTTATTTTTTTCTAAATTCTCATTGGCTATGGCTTTTAACTTTTTTTGCTCCATGCCTTTTTATAATCCTCGATTTCACTTTTAAATTAATTTTAACTAAACAGTTCTTGTTTGTTGTATTTTAGTAATCAGTCATTTAAATAATTCTTTTATTTATCACTTAAAGAAAAATACTCTAAAAATTAAAAATATCGGAGTACTAATTATAACATCACTTAAGTAAGACATAGACAATATTTCAGATGCCCACAGGGCTATTGAGAAAAACCGTTCCAGCCTCTGCATACGTCTAAGAAAATTCTTTTTTGTAAATTTTTTTTTTATTAAAAGTGTTTTTATCACTGATATGTAATATTAATATAAAAGTTTCTCTTTTTAGGAGTCAAAACAGCGTAAGGGTGGAAGAGAGTTTTATTTTGATCTTAAGAAAAAGGAATCTGGTCCATTTTGGCCACGGCTGTTAAAAGATAAATCAAAGGTAAGGTTCTATACAATTAAGTTGTTTAAAACCTATCTTAATAGGTTTTAAACAATTGTATTACAAATTATTGTGGTTTTTCATTTCTGTGGTTTTAAACTATATAAAAATATTTTCCTTATAGCACGCAAATATCAAAGTCGATTTTAGTAGGTGGAAAGATGAAGATGAATCTGATGATGATGCTGGGCGTTTTGATAATGGCAACTTAGAAGATATGATGCAACAGATGGGTGACACTTCTTTAGATCCCGGTGAAATCTCTGAATCAGACAGTGATGATGAGGGTATGTAAGGGTTTAGTATAATACTATTAAAGTTAAATAATTATATATAAATTTTATGAAGCACCTAAAATGAATTTTTTGACTGTACAAAGTGTTGTAATAATTAAAGGAAAGAGTCTGCCTCAGTGTGTGTGTGACAAAGCTGTGTGAACTTTTATAAAAATGTTTTTATCTTATAGTAGAGGTTATGCTTTTTTTATTGAAACGCTTATTAACAAAATATCTATTTTTTGCCTTTTTATTGATGTTAATAAAACATTTTTAAAATTTAAAGAAGTAAAAGTGTTGAACATATAAAAAATATACTTCTAATGTTTGGATGCGAAATGGAAATTTTTTTTATTCTTATTTCTTAAACGATTGCTTATTATTTTAGAGATACCCGATTTGGAAGATGAATCAGGAAAAAAAAGCGAAGAAGATAAATGATAAATCTTTTCATTTATAGATTTGTTTTACTTTATAAAGTTTCTTTGATTTTAAATCGATTTATAACTTTTTAACAGGATTCTTTATGAGTATAACGTTTTAAGTTTCCTTATAATGCATGTACATATTCGTTATTGATATCCTGTATATAGTTTTTCGATAGAATTGTCCTTTATTTGCAAATCTTGAAGTTTACTTATTTAAGACCACCTACCTAAACGAGTTATTAAATCCTTGGGTTATTACTGGATGAATAAATATGCTCCAATGTTTACCCCTTTAAAAGTTTTTTAGTATGTTAGTCTGCGATAATTGGATTCTAAATTTAAATATACTTTTGAAGTCTTTCAAAAGTATCAAATAAAATAAAAAGTAGTATATGGTTATAATTTTTAAAGTATTTTTTAGTTATTAGTCTTAACGTTGTTTATAAGGTAATTAGATGAAAAAAATTTGTATCCAACTTTGAAAATGATTTTCTATGATACAAATCGTATAATATACTATTAAAAAGGTAAAATTATTGAAAAAGAAATTTGTTAATTATAAGATAAAAAAATATGGGGTAATGGACAACGGATTTTTCAGCAAGTGTTCATAACTCAGGCCACCGGCTAATTTGGTGCCCAGGGTATTTGCAGCGAATTTATGAGTTTCATGCCCTGAATTCAAATATACCGTTAGATTTATCCAATCAGCTCTCATACTTGAGTTTTAACGCTTTAATGAAATCAGCGGCGGTAAGGGAGAAACCCACTTTAATTTTAAAATCAAGTTTTAGAAATAAAACATATGTCAGATCAATAGCATATAAAAAGTATTTAAAAAAATAAAAATGCAAGAAATGTTGCTTTGAAAACCATTTAAAAATATCAAAAAACAACAAAACAGGTTTCACGCCACCCAATATTGTGGACAGGGAACATAGCAATCCTAATTAAAATTTTATATGGTGTATATAGTAGGAGTGTTTTAAGTTGAACAGAATTTTTTTTTAAAGTTTAGCAATGTTGGACGCCGTCTGAAATACTTCATACTGAGAAAAAACCGAATTAACCTTTTTTTTTTAATTAAATAACACCAAAATATATATATTTTTAAAGAAAACAATCATTAACTTCTTTAAGGTGGTAGTATACCATTAAAAAAAAATCTTGCATTTTAACTTTTTATTTCAATTTTTAATAGTGCATAACATATATTATATGATTAAAATATAAGTTTAAAAAATTAATTATGCGCATAATTATTGACAGACAAAAGCCTAAAAATGAATAACTGGCCGCAGGGTTTTTTCAGCAACCGTAAATAAACTTGAACTGAAATTTTGGCTTGTGATCTCTTACTTATGCAATAACAACATACACTAAAAGTTTTGGATTTTGACCAAAAAAAGTCAAAACATATGCATTTTAGTCATATTTGGAAGTTTTGGTGTTATTTGAGAACACAAAATCACTCACAAAAGTACAACACAATTAGCTGTAAACATAATTCTAGTAGAGGTTGCAAATACATGTGTTACAAACAAGTGTGCCAAATTTCAAATGAAATCGGTTATCGGTTTGAAAAATATCTCCGTCGCCAGGGTATAAAACATGATTTTGAGAAAAACTCAATTTAAAAATAAAAACAAAATAAAATTGTTCAAAACTCCCCACTTCCATAAACTGCACCTTCTAATGTTTCGTTTTAATCACAAAAACCTTTTTGTATAGCTCTTAGTTTCTTGCGTCTCAATTTCACTATACTTGTGCATTGTTTTTCTGCTTTAGAAATGTGCTTAGAGTCATTTATAAGACAAAAGTTATGTAGATTGCAACCTACTGTTATTTCAAGCTTATCAAATAACGTCTCTAAAAATTGTAGTCCATTATTAAAGTATAGAACAGCTGATGCTACTCCAACACATAAAGCAGTTCTTTCTACAAATATATCTTTGGGACATTGCTTCCAAATCATTTGATTCAGCGCTTCATTAGGATTCTGTGTTTTGCCGGGCAAACGCTTTTCTAAAAGAAAATCACTACCAAGATCTATAAATATTGGTTTTATAAAATCCCTAAAAGCAGCAGGAATACAAATATTTTCTTTGTATGTTTTTTTTTTCCAGTTATTTTATCAGCCTGAAATTTGCACCTAGAATCCTTGGTGCGCAAACAAAATTGATGGCGTGTGTCATTGTCATAACTTTCAGAACAGTGAAAAAAAACAGCTGCTACACTTTTTTTCATTGCATATAAACTACCAATATTTTGTCTGATTGCTTTGCCATAGTAAACTTGGAATGTGTTAATAACATTTTCTGTCAAACGACCTGCTCCTCCTAGTTTTTTTACCATCACTTAAAATTTCTTTGCTGCTTTTTTTTAAGTTTCTTAAACGCGTGCCAACTAATTTTTGAATATGACCAATGCACTCTGCTTTTTTAATTTCTACATTATGTCCATAAAGTTTAGCAGCAACAACACTGGTATAAGAACTACTATCTCCGTCACCAAGATATGTGTATACCTTAAATTGTTTTTTTTTTTTCAGAACGATGGAAAAGTTTTAAAACACCACTTGATTCCATAGCCGATGATGATCCAGTATGACTAATTTTACACTTTTGGAAATGTGATTTTTTTTTTTTTTATTTTATTTTTTTTTATTTTTTTTATTTTTTTTTTTATTTTTTTTTTTTTTACATTTATTTTGCTGTTTAACAAATATAATCAACACATATATATACAAGAAAGAAAGAAATATGTCCGTATAACAAAGAAGACAGTAAAATCTTGTCAACAAGCACCGTTTTTGTATATACAGTATATAAAATAAACTATACTTTTTACAATGATCTTTATAAAATAAAGAGTTAAACAGACAGGGGCTCAAAGAAGATGAAGATGACAAAACGTCATCGCAATCTTTTCATAGAGCCCCCTATATACATTTTCATTAGGTTATGGATATTAAATTAAATTAAAAACCCTAATGGGCATAAAACTGCTGCGCTGATCAATAAAAACAAATAAATATGATTATAAAGAAAATTACTTTGTAATCCTTTTAAGCACAGATAATAATCAAATTTTAAAAATTTCTTTTTTTTATCAGAAACTTAAATAAACTTAATGACTTTGCCATACATTTGGATCCTTTTTGATATCTATTCCATATATTTGGCCTCCGATATGCAATGCTATATTCAGTATATTTATTAAGGTTTTGAGGCAGTTTATATGTGTTACTGTTTATATTTGCTCTTAGATAGTAGTTTTCATTTATGTTTATTTCAAACTTGTTAGTAAAGTTTGTAGGAGAGAGATTATTATTAAATTGATACATAAAAACTAAATGCTGATAGATATTTATTTCAAAAACATCCATCATTTTCATATCTTTCATTATAGGTTTTGCATGCTCCCGCTTATTTTTAAATGATTCTGCATGCGTGTTTTTGTAGACTATAGATTTTTTTAAGTTTTGATGGCTGAGTACTTGCCCATGATATGTTTGCATAGCTGATAAAGCAATGAATTAGTCCAAAGTAAATTAGTTTTAGACTTTGTTTATTGATATATGAGCGAACTCTATACATCATACCAATTATATTACTGATTTTAGATTGAATATATCTTATTTGAGGAAGCCAGGATAGCTTCTCATCAACAAGAACTCCTAAGAATCTAATGCTGGCTTGTTTTTTAATTAAGTTATCATTTAGGATAAGGTCAGGCAACTTAAGAGGAAGGTTTTCTTCTTGCGCCTTTTTATGGAATAATATATATTTTGTTTTCTCTGAGTTAAACGAGAGTTTGTTAGCTCTAAACCAATTATTTACTTTTATTAGTTCGATATTCAAGAATCTATATGTCTGCATATAGATTCTTGATATCACTGTTAGTAAGAAATAGATTTGTATCGTCAGCAAACATGACTGAATTTAGTTTTAAAGATGCATTGCAAAAATCATTTATATAAATTAGAAACAGAAGTGGACCAATGATAGATCCTTGGGGAACTCCACATAAAACATTTAATACTCCAGATTGAATATTGCACACATATTGTTTTCTATTGGTAAAATAACTTTTAATCCAATTGTAAGTTTTATTAATTATACCATAGTATTTTAGTTTATCTAATAAGATGCAGTGGTCAACTGTATCAAAAGCTTTTGATAAGTCAATAAAAACTCCTAAAGTAAATTTATTTTGATTAAAACTATCGGTTATTTGATTAACTAATTCAATAATTGCATGCTCTGTTGAAAGGTTTTTTAGAAATCCAAACTGGTTTGGGTAAAATAAGTTGTTTTTGGTAAAGTGATTATAGATTCTATTATAAATGACACGTTCGAAGAGTTTTGAAAAAACAGAAAGTATTGATATAGGTCCAGGGCCGGCGCGAGTAGGTGTCACGTGGGGGGTGTCATTACAACTTTTGCCGACTTAAAAAAAAAAAAAAAAAAAAGGTCCTCGTTTTCCAAAAATTGCCGACTGTCATGACGACATTTGCCGACTGTCATGACGACATTAAAGTTGGTTATGTCCGAATGTTATTTATTTTTTTTTTTTTTTTTTTTAATTTTTATTTTTCGTCATTTGACACATTTTACAATGTTAACCTTACATTCAAATAAATTTATAAAAATGCAAGCTGACTGGGGCAAGTAGAAGACAAAATGTCTTATCATCAAGCCCCTTTGTGAAAATAAAAAAAAATAAAAAAAATTTTACAATTTCCAATAATATATAAAAGAGTGAAATTAAAAAAAGTTTAAAAAAAAACAAATTAAAAAGTTTAAAAAAATCAAAAAGTTTCAAAAATAATTTTTAAGTTTGACAAAACTAAAAAGTTTGAAAATAATAAAAAAGAAAAAATTTTGAAAAAATAATTTACAAATCCGTACATATGCGTATACATATCCAATAAACTTCATAATATATATTTAAATATACAAAAGATATTTTGAATTAAAAAAGATTCTGAACATTTCATAGATTTAAGTTCATCTACTCATTTTTTTTTAAAAACAAAATTAAA